TTTAAGATTCATCGTTATTACCTGATGCTTCTTTCAAGACAATACAGTGAATCTGTATTACTACTAGAGATAGGATGACACTTTGTAGGTGAAGGTGTGGGACCTGTAGGCCTCCAGATGTTTCTGAATTATGCCATATCCCTCAACATCGGTCACAGTAGATAGAAAACTGCAGCTCAGCAAGATTTGGAGGGCCATATTTTCTACTTCCCTGATGGAAGTAAATAAATTAGCCATCACACTGTTATCAGTGTAACCACTAGTCCTAGTATAGTCTTGCTTTAGAGAAGTGGAAATTACCAGTACATTTTCACCATCAAATATGTTCTTCAGTGTTTTCCAAAAATAGAATGCTTCTGGGCAAAAGAGTCTGCACATTTCTGCAAGTAAGACAATTCTTGCCCATGCGTCAAACCATTGTATTATTCCTAGAAGTCTGAGGATATTATTTTTAAAATTTAGTAATAACTTGTCTACAACTTTTACAGAAAATGCCAAATGATACACCAAGTTCTTAACTATTGAATGATGTTTTAAAAAATGAAAAATGACTGAAAAACTGTCACCCATTCAAACTACATACTCCAATATTACATGGCCATACTTGTTGGATCTGTAAAATATTGACTTGTTATCCGATATATGTTCAGACCAACAGGGTGCAATCTTGTTGTACTAGTTGGGGAATTCTGGAGTTCAAATCCATGCATCTTAAAGTAGCTGACGTTTAAAAACACAGGCTTAAAAATGACATTCAAGCTTTTCCCCTGAACTTTTCAATCTCATCCTCCAAAAATGGAACCTGGTAGCAGACATGCTCAAGGATTGTGCTCCCCCGCAATAGACAATAGGCATTTTGTAATATCCATGCTTCTGCTCGTTGGACATCGACTTCATTGTGTAAAGGAGACACAACTATTTTAAACAGCCACCCAGAGTCGCTTCGAAAAGAGATGGGCAGCAAATACATTTTAATAAATAAACGAAGGATACCGGTCACGCTATCGTTAAAATTTATTTTTTATGAACTTTTAAGTTTCCAAAAGTGTATTCCATTGCAAAATATACAAACATGTTCCAAACAATCCAAGAAAGACTGTGCATATTGGAAGTGATGAAATCCAGATTCTCCCACTGTTTCGGCTTTCCTCATCAGATCTAGCAAGGAGGGCATGCTCTGGGTCCCTTCCATTTAAACAGTGCTGTCTTGTTGAACACAGAAGTCATGACTTCTCTGTGGCAGTGTTTGCTTTGTGGAACCGTATCCCTGTGGAAATGCAGATAGCCTTGGTCCTTTTTAGACCTTCATAAGATTCTGAAACCCTGGCTGTTTCCAAGTTTTCAGGCCGGGAAGTCAGTCAAGTTCAGTTGATGTAATTTTATGATTGAAATGTATCATTTACCTTGGGTTTTATGTGCTGTTAGTTTTAACTATTGTTTTTTTAAAAAAAAATCTAAGTAACCTGCTCAGAGTCAGCCATTGTGAAATGGGAGGCCATATAAATTATATAAACACTTAAAAAAAAATACATGGAGCATAATCATCTGGCCTGCTGCTAGATTCTCTTGTATCCATAACATTTAAGGGATTTTGGACATCTCAGCGTAGGGCTGAGAATTTTGAGTGTAAGTATAATTAAACACTCAGGGCATTCTTTGTATATTTCATAGGTGCATTTCCAAAATACATCTAAAGTACTACAATAAGCAGAAGACAGATTGCCATCCAAAATATTTGTTCTTGTTACCTGCTCTTCACATTAATCATCTAAAGGAGACATAGGACCAGCTTTTTGTTTTTCAGATCTACCACGAGTTTACTAGTCTCTCAACATCTTCCAGCCAGAATACAGTGCAACGTAACGGCTCAAGGCGGTGAATAAAACTGAATAAAATTGAAGGAACATGATAGTTGCTATTGGGATGCAAGAACAGAAACTGGGATATGTGTTTTTGAAAGTTATTTCATCTCACTATACCAGGGGTAGGCAACCTTGGTTCTTTTATGACTCGTGGACTTCAACTCCCAGAATTGTGGAAGTTGAAGTCCACGAGTCATAAAAGAACCAAGGTTGCCTACCCCTGCACTATACTGTAGGTAAGCTTTACCTAACCAGTCTGTGAAATGACAGGGTTTAGAATCTGGAGGGCACCAGATTTTTAAATCCATTTTTTTCCTAACACAGTGTCTCCAGATCAGCTTGGGTAACTTTAGAAGGTGTGGACTTCAACTTCCACAATTCTGGGAGTTGAAGTCAACACATCTTAAAATTGCCCAGGTTGAGAAACATTGCTCCAGATGTTTTGG